GCAAAAAATCCCATGGTGTTAACATGGCAGTCCACTGTACTTCCACATACATGCATTGTACATAAAAAAATAAATACACAACCATAGAGTACTGAAGTGATGACGTCATAAAAATCAAATTTCCGAAATTATGGGATTTGTCAGGATATTCTGAAAGAACAATGTCCAAGAGGCCTACTTGCCAAAAATGAGCATTTCGCGGCAAATTGTCTCTGAGATCGTAACCCAGTTATACTCAGAAAACTCCATACAAACGCTTCTAATTTTTTGGGGGGTGGACCCAAAAAAAATTTAGAAGGGTTTGTATGGAGTTTTGTAAGCATAACTGGGCTACGATCTCAAAGACAATTTGCCCCCAAATGCTCATTTTCTGCACTATCCAAGCGCTTTCCCACATAGTACTATTTGTGTTTTAGCATTTTACGGAGGAAACTTCTAAATTTTGCTGAATTTTTAGAAATTTTTAAAGGTACCTGTCTAAATTGAGTCTGTCAGGATTAGCCTGTCTTTCCTCGGGGAGCCTGTAAACAATAGGTATACCTGGCGCTGATGGTGATTCAGCAAATATCACCCTGTCACCTGCAAAAAAAGCCAATTCCAATTTAAAGTCAACTCTCTCTAAGACGGACACCTCTGCAACCAGAACTAAGCGTCTGTCTTAGAGAGAGTCAAATAAAAGGAGTAAAGAAAGGCAGGGGCCAAATTTAGGTGTCTTTAAACAAAGGTGTCTATTTTATAATCCTCAGTATTAAGTATTTACCGCCGCCTGGTTAGCTCAGTTGGGAGAGCGCCGGTCTGCTGAGCGGGAGGTCGCGGATTCAAACCCCAGCCGGACCAACACTTAGGGTCTTTAAATAACTGAGAAGAAAGTGTTGCCTTTGTAATGACATCTGCAAATGGTTAGACTTTCTAGTCTTCTTGGATAAGGACGAAAAACCGTAGGTCCTGTCTCACAGCACTTTCACTGATCTGTTCTTGTGGGACGTAAAAGGATCCACACTACTGTTCGAAAAGAGTACGGGAAGTAGAACCTGGTGGTGTGGCCAACCTTTATGGGTTGGGGGATTGGGTAGGGATGGCACCTTGCATGGGACCTATGAGTCCTGTTCGTGCCTATTCCCTCTGAGCAGGCCTGTGTCCAGAAAAGCTTGTAAAAGAAAACTAAGTCCCATTAAGTAATCATTTTTCTCACCTCTATTACAATATAGATGAGGAACCTGTCGGTTGGCCAATCACTGACTGGGGGACCACTTAAGACAGGCTAACTGCAGTAGTTCACTAACTCTTGTCTATTTGGCTATACAAAATGTGGATTTTATGTTTCAATGTGTCCCTCCACTCTGTATCACCTGGGACCAGGCTACTTGGTTATACCCATGCTTGGTTAGCTCAGCTGTGAAAGTGCCAGTCTGTTTGGGAGTTCACAGGTTTAAACCCCAGCCAGACCAACACTCAGGGTCTTTAAATAACTGAGAAGAAAGTGCTGCCCTTGTAATAACGTCTGCAAATGGTTAGACTTTCAAGTTTTCTCAGATAAGGAAGAAAAACCGTAGGTCCCTTCTCTCAGCATTTTCACTTACCTGGTTCTACCTTGTGGGATGTAAATGAACCCCCACCACAGACTCACTGTTTGAAAGGAGTAGGGGACGTACATGTACATGTGGACCCCAGTGGTGTGGCCAAACTTCACTGGGCTGGGTGGGTTATCTGTAAGGAGAGATCTTAATATAGGGATAACCTCATGGTCTTCTTTCAGGTGTCATAATGGCTACCAGTGAGCAGTGTATTTATGTATGCAAAAAAGGGCAAAACTTGACGAGTAAAGCGAGTAAATCAAGGGCACCCCTCTTCCATTTTCTCCTTCACCATCCTGGTGATTTTTAGTCCCCATCCCCCAGATGGAGGGCCTGATCACAAGCTAAGCTTTATTTTACGCAGCCTGATTATCAACAAAAAGATACATGCAACAAGAGCTTTTCTCACCTGGAAGGAAAACCTGTGTTTTACTTCTGGACTGTGCCTGAGAACCAGCACTAAATGAATGTCGACTTGGCAAACTGTCCTCATAAGTGTTTTCTGGCATCACTTTAATAAAAGTTGCTGAAGCTCCTGATGTAGATGTTTGGTCTGTCACATATGCTGGGGCTGGCTGTAAAACCTGGCGCTGAACTTTGTGAAGTTCTCGGAAAGATGGGGTTGCATAATTCTGCTTAGAATCTTGCACTGCGTCAACACTTGAATGGGAATATTCTGCAGTAAAATTAATATGAAATGATGCAGCACAAAAAAAACTCACAGAAGTAATCAGCAAAAGTTAAATGTGAAATCACAATAATTGTTCTCGATTGTGAAAGCTTTGCATTTACAAGAAACAAAAGTCTGTCTAGGGTTTTCAGGTGAAACATGCATGGTCTGTTTACAGTTTTCTACATGTACCTTTCCAAGATTGCATACTTACGTAAAATGGAAGGAGGACGATCAACATCTTGAGGTGGTGATATGGTGTGGCGAAATTTTGTGCCATTATCAATCCTGGTGTTTGAAGATGGTCTTGTCAAAGGACCAGTTTCTCTGCTATAGGCACTTTGTTTCCATTCAGGAACACCCTAAAACCACAAAGCAGGATAAAGATAAAGTTCAAAACAAAAAAAAATTTTACCGGTAAATTTGTATTTTCCCATCCAAAACAGTTATCAATACATCGCACAATATTACAATATCAAAAAAGGTCTTTTTTTTCAACAGTGCAGGAGAATTAGCCTGCACTACAGACAAAACTAAAGTTCTGGTTAACTCTGTGAAACATCTCCGATATCCTTGTTCTGAGTTCCAGCTGTGTACCAGGATTTGAGTACAGGGCATGATTGGCCTGTTAAAAAAGCCATCTTTCAGTTAGTTTATAAGTTTGACGTAAAATTTGAAGTGCACTTCTGGAAATTCATTGAGTCCATTTCATTAATTAAGTCCACTGGGGGCTCAGATCTTGGAACTTCCTTGCTTAACAGTGTAAGATTACATCTGTGATGCAGGTTGGAGAAAAATCGAAAAACGTTTTTCTTGACTTGCCTCAACTTTTTTGTGTTTGCTGAATACAAATTGTACATTTAGGAAAAAAGGAAAGCTGCCATACAGACAATGAGAGATGCACAGTAACTACGTAATCAATTGCAGTAACTACGTAATCAATTGCAAATAAACTGATCTGGATTGTTCTCAGCATAAGCTTTTAAAATAATGTCTACAAAAGTCCCCAAAGTGGGGGTTCGGGGGTGGGTTTCACTTAATAGCCTAAAGACTACTAGAAGGCATCAGTAAGGGGAGGGGGGGATCAATGTTCAGTAGTAGCCAAGAAAGTCTGATGCCCCTTTCTATTACCACTTGCACTTGCATAGTGTAAAGTTCCTTAGCAAAATAAAATTAATAATAATTATTTATTGAACTTTTCCTTTTTAGAATAAAGTGTACATGTAATGAACAAACAGTTTGTTTTTTCTCATCCACAAGTTAATACAACCGTCATTTGAAACCCTTTAGACCCCCCCCCCCC